ATATCCCTGGTTCTACAAAGAAAGAAAGAAAGAAAGAAAGAAAGAAAGAAAGAAAGAAAGAAAGAAAGAAAGAAAGAAAGAAAATCTAGCTTGAGGAACAGAATAGACTAATGATTTAGCTAAGATTACGTGTTCTAGCCTGGGAGACGGGAGCTGAAAGCACTAAATCAGGCAGTTTTATATCACTACGATGACAGAACAGCTGACTCACAATGAGAAAATGTTTATTTAGCTCACAGTTTTGGAGGTTCGAAGTTGAAGATTGGGCAGACCCCATTTGGCTTTGGCGGGAGGGAGGGATGATGGTGTGTCCTGGTGGAAGCACCTGTGGAAATGAGAATGTCAGAGGTTGGAGTCCCACAAGCCCCTCTGAGGGCACACCCTCCATGACCTAATCACTTCCTGCTGTGTCCCACCTCTGGAAGGTTTACAGCACTTCCAAACACCATTGCCCTGGGGACAAACCTTTAGTTAGATAGGGACTTTTGGGGGACACCCAATGCAAAACCATAGCAAGTACAAAGGATAAAAGTGAAAAAGGATAGGGCTGGGAAGATGGCTCAGTGGAATAAGCACTTCTCTGGCAAGTTCAAGGGCCTGAGTTCAATCCCTGGTTCCGCAAAAAAAAAAAAAAAAAAGTGAAAAAGGCAATATCCTCAAAGCAAGGGGCAGTTGCCCCAAAAAAGTGAGGTAGGTAAGTATTATTGGTTCCTCCTAACCGCTCTCAAATTAAGCCCATTATTTCTACATGGACCCTGTTTTGTAGCTGACTGGACATTTCACAGCTTCCTGAACTAGTCTCAAAGGAGTTACATCCTGTTCCTTTGTCCATCCTCCAAGTGGCTGCCATGGGACCTCCCTGAGTGATCATGTCACTTAGGTACCTTAAAACATCCACAGAGTTCAATTTCCATGGTGGGGTAAAAATAAACAAGTACATAAAAATATATAAACAAACAAATAAATAAAACTTAAAAGCTCTTGACAATTGTTCCCAAACCATCTTTGTAATTTCCTGCTTGTTCTTCTTTCCTCACCCTACCAACTACGGCCTGAATGCTAACATCCCTCCAAAATTCATACGTTGGAACTTAATCCCCAATGTGATGTTCTTTAGAGGTGATTAGGTCATGAGACTTCTGCCCTCGTGAATGGGCTTAGTATCCCTAGAAAAGAACTGAAGGAGTAGGTTACACACCTCCTTCCATCCTTCCACCATGTGAAGAGGCAGCAACCAGGCACTATTTCTGGCAGAGATAGCCCTCATCAGACACTGAATCTACCAGTGCCTTACACTTGGGCATCCCAACCTTTAGAAATGTCAATAAATGATCATTATTTATCTGAGGCAGTGCTGGAAATAGAATCCAAGACCTTGCACATGCTACACAAATACTCTTGCATCAATCTATAACCTAATCCAATTTTTATAATGTCTGAGTCACCCAGCCTAAGCTATATCGATGCATTGGTTCACAAACAGAAATGTTCAGCAAAATATTGCTTAACTTTGTGAATTCTGTGTTGAGTGACAAACATGACCGTGGCCATCTTCCTTGCACAAACACAAATGTGGGTATCTTTCCCAGACTCATGGAATGAATTAAATTCATGAAACAAGAAACTACCATATTTTGTTACAGCAGCAAAGCAGACTAGGACAGTTTAACCATATACACCCAACTCTTGACACGAATCTTGTTCATTCCTCAAATATGTCATTATATTCTCAAGCTGCCTTGTCTTTAACCTGACTCCTTTCCTCAGGCAACATCACCTCCAGGACACACAGTTCAGATGCCACCTCTTCTGTGACCTTTCCCTTAATCTCTAGTTGGCAAAGTTTTCTGCTCTTTTTTTTCCTCTAGGGCCTGGGCATCTTGTTCTTTCAATTTTCACAAAAAGGTTGCTTGGGTTTTATTTCATAAGCAACATATAGATACATCCTTTGGAGACCATGAATCAGAAGTTGAGTCTAGAGGAAGTTGCTTTTGTACTTGTCCTACCCTTGAGACAGATTGGAATGAGGAAACTCCCCACTCAGTAGAAGCCCTGGGGCTAAGGACTGCTGTGGTGCTCACAGGGCAGGGTAAGACCTGCTGGAGGTGGTCAGGCATCTGGGGAAACAGCAGTTTCCTCATTGCTCCCATCTCATCCTTGTCCTCGTCCTTGCAAGAATGTTTTGGTTTTGCTAGCCCACCCTAGTGACCATTACTGTTGTTGGAAACACCCACTGCCCTTACCTCACTGTCTTCGAC